TTAAAGTAGGCGGCTATAAAAAAATCATATCTAAATTGTTATGATTGTCTACAAGTAACTTACACAGGGTGAGTCAAAAAAAGGAAACCCAAATGGCAGGACAAATTTTTTTAATGAAGTTCTGCATGTAGCACTATCAAAATCAAGATATGAAAGCCCAATTTATAAGCTTTGTTTTAGTAAAAGAGTCATTCAAATCACTTATGTACTTTGCAAGTTACAGAATTTTAAACACAAACACCGTCTTAAAAGTTCTGTCAGCAAAACGAAAACAATTCACATATAGGGGGATGCGCTAGAATTGTTTTCGTTTTGCTGAAAGAACACACACCATTTTTTGTGATACATGGACAGAACTTTAAAACAGTGGTTGTGTTTAAAATTCCGTAAGTTGAAAAGTACATATGAGTGATTTGAATGATTCTTGTACTAAAAGAAAGCTTATGAATCGGCTTTCATATCCTAGATTTTGAAAGTACTACATGCAAAACGTTATTAAGAAAATGGTCCCGCCATTTGGGTTTCCTTTTTTTTTCACTCACCCTGTATACTTACAATGGCGGCATTTCCTAATTGTACATGTATTATAAACACTATGGGGATCATAAGGAGAGGGAGGGGAATTAGGGGCGGCCCAATGAAGGATTTCTTGAAAGTGCTCTTCTAATATGTTTAATATATATATATATATATATATATATATATATATATATATATATATATATATATATATATATATATATATATATATATATATATATACTTATATATATATATATATATATATATATATATATATATATATATATATATATATATATATATATATATATATATATATATATATATATATATATATATATATATATATATATATATATATACATGCAATAAATTCAGAATATTCTCTTTCTGAACAGACTGTTTCGTACCATAAGGCACTCATCAGCAGAATGACGAAAAATAGAATACAAGCAGCATCTTACCTTATTTCGAATAAGGTAAGATGCTGCTTGTATTCTATTTTTCGTCATTCTGCTGATGAGTGCCTTATGGTACGAAACAGTCTGTTCAGAAAGAGAATATTCTGAATTTATTGCATGTTTATAGCTCTACAGAGATGTATCGAGCACTGTGAATTGTGATAGAAGACGATTTCATTGGATATATATATATATATATATATATATATATATATAGGCATATAAACATGCAAATGTGCACAGAATATACGTCCATTCCTTGCAGTGTGTACTGTTGGATTTATATTAGATGGATGTTGGGACTTGGGGGAGTAATGTCTTACTGACTGAAAAGGAGGGAATAATGTTGGTTTTTTTCGAGAAATTATGTAACTTCTTAAATAATGCGTTAGCACTTGGATATGTTATTGGGCATGTTGGGAAAAATTGCAGTTGACTCCCCCTTCCCCAAATATAAAAACTACACGAATATACGAATGTATCAATGTAGCTGATAACATTATTTGTGCCATTATTTGTTCCACAAACAAGTTGTCACTTGATACGAATTCATACAATGATATGAATTTGATTTAAAAAATAAGAGATCATTTTCTGATTCTCCCTATTTAGTATAGGGCCTAATGTCCAGTTTGCTGACGTCACGATCCTAAAACCTCACAAAGTCATTACGTTTTTCTGTATAATATCTAAGGGTAAGTTTGGTAAAATTTGGATGAATGGTTTTTAAATTAAAAATAGTCTAACTTTCTTGGACGTGCTAGGGGGTGCCCTTTCAGGCGATGACATCGCCATGCCACCGTTTTTATGCCCCGCGGCGAAGCCGAAGGGGCATACTGTTTCCGCCTTGTCCTTCCGTGGGTGGGTGGGTGGGTGGGTGTGGGTGTGTGTGTGTGTGTGTGTGTCCGCACCAATCTTGTCAGCGCGATAACTTGAGAAATACTTAAACATATGAACTTCAAATTTGGTTTGTGTATTGTTCTTGGTAATCCTAAGAAGCCTATTGCATTTGGGACCGAAAGGTCAAGGGTCAATGTCACAGTGGCTAAAACAAAAGAAATTTTGTCAGCGCGATAACTTGAGAAATACTTTACATGTGAACTTCAAATTTGGTTTGTGGATCGTTCTTGATCATAGGCCAATCGCATTGGGGGTCGAAAGGTCAAGGGTCAAGGTCACAGTGGCTAAAACAATAGAAATCTTGTATTTATTCTGAGATCATAGGGATTAGGGATTAATTCATATAAAACCTACACGAACGTGTTTGCTTAATTTTCATTCATACAGATGCGAGTAAATGCTTCAAAATTGGAAGTAAAAGCAAATGCCATGTTTTATTCATACGAACATGGTATCATTTGTACTTTATGAACTTTGTTAATATTAATTTTTCGCGATTAACATATAATAAATGCTGTAGCTTTTGCGCAGAATTATTTGCTTTATAATTTCAAGGTTGCCCCAACCCAGCCTTGTGAATGACAAGTGCATATTTGAAATCTGAAGCATTTACTCCTTTATATTCATACGAAACGTACAGATGGGAGTAATGCAAATGCCAGTTTTTATTCATACGAACTACCGGTACCGTATGGTATTATTTGTACTTTTTCGCGATTAACATTAATAAATGCAGTAATTTTTGCGCAGAATTATGTGCTTTTATATTTTCAATGTAGCCCCAACCCAACCTTGAAATATGACAAGTAAATATTTAAAAATTGGAACATTTACTCCTTTTTATTCATAAGAAACGAAGTAAACGCTTATAGTGTAGCAAAAGCTTAAAGGTAAAATTAATTATTTTCAGAATTTAGCAAACGGTTTTTAGTAAAAGTGTTTGCTTAATTTTCATTCATACAGATGCGAGTAAATGCTTCAAAATGGTAGCAAAAGCAAATGCCATGTTTTATTCATACGAACATGGTATCATTTGTACTTTATGAACTTTAATAAATGCAGTAATTTTTGCGCAGAAGTATTTTACTTTATAATTTCAAGGTTGCCCCAACCCAGCCTTGTAAATGACAAGTGCATATTTGAAATCTGAAGCATTTACTCCTTTATATTCATACGAAACGAAGTAAACGATAAATAATTTTTTTCTGGTAATGAAACCAAGGATCCTCAAAAGTGCATGCCCCAGGCACTGTAGCTCGCAACCCCCCCCCCCCCCCAAAAAAAAAAAACGTAGAGAGAAGACAATGAGAAGAAATTACAGTTTTAGAGGTGGGAGGAAAACCCCAGAAGAATAGTCTGGGGAAAACCCACGGAATCAGGTAGGGACTGAAAACCCAATCCACATGTAGACCATGGGTGCCGATGCACAGCGCATTGTGCACGTAAACGGCATTGCGTTCGTCACGTTTGATGCGCTTTTTTTGTATCTGCCCTCCAGCACGTGACCCTCCCCGGTGCCGCTTTCCGTTTCGGTTACGATAGTTTTATTTTCTGCAAACTTATAAACATGTAAAGCTTTACATTTTGCAGGCCATTTACTCAAGAGCAAATGGTTTTTAGTAAAAGTGTTTGCTTAAGTTTCATTCATACAGATGCGAGTAAATGCTTCGAAAGTGGTAGAAAAAGCAAATGCCATGCTTTATTCATACAAACATATGGTATCATTTGTACTTTATGAACTTTAATAAATGCAGTAGTTTTTGCGCAGAATTATTTTGCTTTATAATTTCAAGGTTGCCCCAACCCAGCCTTGTAAATGACAAGTGCATATTTGAAATCTGAAGCATTTACTCCTTTTTATTCATACGAAACGAAGAAAATGATTATTAGGCCAAAAAAGGCTCTGGTTTCTGATATGCGCGCGCGTCGCCATAGCCATGCGCGTCGGCAATGTAAGATGATGTCTTTCAATGTAAGATGATGTCTCAAACCACCAAACTCACTGGTTCGACTGGAATCCTGCTGCTGCACAATTTTAACGTGTTATTTCTCATAAAGTTATTTCTCATGTCTAAGTTTATTTCAAGCATGAAGAACAAAGGAAAATGGATGTTAAATACAGTTTTTCTGAGTTTTTTATTGTTTGCACTCCCCTTTTTGAAAAATCAAGCTCCGCCCCCCAAAATTGTGCAAGATCCAAGATGTGTTCACCTCTTAAAATTATTTTCAGCCCATTTTAACTGGACCTGCCAATTTTCAGGATTTTACTACCAAACCGAATAATGTTTTCCATGTTAGAACCAAACTGCTAATATATACCGCCTCTTTTGTACATTTAGGCCACGCCTACAAAATGGGTGGAAATTAACTGGTGTTCGAATGCTAGAATGTTATATTTTATGTTTAAGTTTATTTCAAACCATAGAAAAACAAGGAAAATGGATGTTAAATACAGTTTTCATGAGTTTGTATTGTTTGCACCCCCTTTTAAAAAAATCAAGCTCCGCCCCCAAAATGGGCAAGATCCAGGATGGGTCCCGATCTTAAAATGAATTCTAGCCCATTGGGACCCCACCTGCCAAATTTCATGCTTTTACCACAAAGTGCACGATTTGGGCCAAAAATGGACCTAAGCAGCTCCACTAAATATCTGACAAAATGATCATTGCCAACGTCATTAATTATTAAGTGAGAGGTGTTGATACACATGAACAAAACGCTCACGAAAAGGTATGGTTTCACGGAATGAGACTAATATAGCCCCTCTAATACAGCATTGGATATTTCCAGTACGATATTGTTTTCCACTTCAATATTCAAGTGTGACGGATTCGTAATTTTTCAAATTGGGATCTCAGTGGAGTTGCACTGTGTTTCTTTTTTTTCAGGGGAAAGAATCAAGGAATTACATCAAAACCAAAACCAAGCGGCCAAACAGGCGTATTGGCAATAAGCCAAGATTCGAAAATAAGGTACCCTTTCCGATACTAAATCAACGAGTCACGTCCCCCCCCCCCCCCCAATGTAAAGGGTGTTTCCAACAACCACTTCCGCAAAAGCCTCCCTTGTTTACCTTGATAAAACCTACAATATAAGAACGCTCATAATAGACCCTACCTGCGGAATGCTGAAGAGGACTGCCACGAAGTAGGAGCTCAGTATCAGGACTTTGATGAGGAACGGTCGCTGGCGTTGTCCCAACGGGCGCAGCACGGCCAGGCATCGGTCCAGCGCCACGTCCACGGTGATAAAGGACGAGGCGAAGAGCCCAAAGCTGGAGAAGAATTTAGCAATCTTACAGAGGGCCTCTCCCCCGTGCCACGCGTCGGTGGCGTACCAGATCATGTGGAAGAGCATATGGCAGTAGGTCACCACCAAATCCACCAGGGCCAGATTCAAGATCAGCGTGGTGACGGTGGACTTTCGGCGGCCTCGGATCTTGCAGGTGACAGCGATTGCGATGCCGTTGCCTATGGTGGAAAAGATGATCATGACCGCCAGTGCGCTTACCTTGAAAGCCTTGAAAGCATTGAAAGTGGGTAGAGGAATGGTGGTGTTCTCATTGCAGGGGAAACCTGAGGACATAATGTCACACAGGTAAAACTCCCCATCGACCTCAGCTTCGCTGATCATGGAAGCCATCTAGTATTGGGGTAGAAATCAAATCGGCCTACTTGCAAATGGAGCGCAATGGTTTATGAGTGAATGTTGCCGGACCTGTCCATTTCTTGTTACCAATGACGCGTGATGACACGCCGTAGGCGTCTTGCTGTCTTGTCGGTCACCTCAAACCGAAGAACTAATACGATGTTTGTGTCAGTAATGCAACAGGAGCGTAGAATCTGTCAAATAAATAAATACAAAGCTATTTGATAACTTGAAATTGCCTTTACATTCTTCGTGCTGATTCCAGAATTAGGGGATAAAATACAAGCGATTACAACTGTCAGAAAAGAATCATTAGGAATGCAGTTATCCACAATAATTTTTCCCCGAAATAGAAAATATTGAAACGTTTATTAACAATAATCTGCCTGAATTAAATGAGAAGTTAATGCGAGGGTTTTTGCGCCATTTATGCTCAGACAAAATTATGTGGTAGTTAACGAATAGGAATATTAGCAAAGACATGCAATACACCAATCCATTTAGACCCGCTCAGTGTCCACGTGAGCAACAAAACGAGCGCCTTGTTGAAGCCACGCGTGTCACGTCAAGATTTTTTGCCGACCAAAGTAACTCACGTGCATGGTTTTCAGGTTGGCTGATTTGGGGGCAACAATGACGAAGCGCATATATTAGCACATTCAATAGCGTCACTCGGCGTGACTTCGCGTGGGTCTCACCCAATGGAAGCCGGCAAAAAGGGTGATACTTATTAATTAATAGCTCGTGAAGGGACTATACTGCATATTTGTACTGCACACCATAATGGGTAGGAACCTTATGGATATTCGTGAGGCTTGAAAAGATTGACAGATATTGCAAACACCAGTGTTACTACCTTTGAAAATGCACGTAGCCAGGCCGATTTTTCCACATTCAACGAAAAGTACTTAACATATCAAAACGATTTTTAGCACATAGTTGGATCATTATAAGAGAAACAAACCCTGAAAGTTGCATGAAGAGACGGTCTTCCAAACGGAAGAAATAAATTTTCAAAGATTTCGCCCGCCAACGTGAACATGTCTGTGTGCATGTTGTTTCATTCATAATAAAGTATTACGTAACCTTTAGAAATCGTCCTTCGCAACCACACGGCTGCATTTGCCTTTTCACTAATACGTTTATGGCTGCTTTATTCATCTTCACATTCTGGCGGCCAATTTAAAATTCCTTGCTGCATGGTCAAGAGTTCTATTTTTGTAACAATCCAAACACCTGTCCCAAGAGTCATATTTATATTACTCACAGTCGCGTTCACGACAGGTAATATTGAAAGGTTATATTTATTATAGTGTCGCGTTTCATAACAACTGAGACAGTCACAGTTGGCACAGTAAATAAAAGGTTTCGTCTCAATGGACATATCTCATGGGCAATTACTGGATCTTTATATCATATTTCAAACATTCTCTTGTTCACATGATTCTGACATTGATCAGTGGCGTAGCTTGGGTCAAATTCATAAAAAGCACTTGGATGCCTTATTTTCTGAAGGGGGACGAAATGATGATGCCCCTATAAAAAGTGCATACCTTTCATAAACGTATTAAACTCCACACAGACAATATATTCATAAAAATATTTCTTTTTTTCGAATGTGATCACAAACTTACCCTTTTAGAGGCGCGGCATCAATTTTTTAAAATGGGGGGGGGGGTACTCAATATGCCAACGTGGAAAATTTTGACTGCTGTTCATAATCCACCTCAGATAGCTCATCTAATGTGTTATAGTATAGGGCCGCCTTTGTAGTTGGAAGTGACTGTTGTAAAAACCCTTTTTTTCTGTATGCACTATGCATTCTTGCCTCATCTATATTAACCGAATTACTGGTTCTGTCGTCTTTAGAATTATTGTTAACCTCTCAACTGCAGCAATTTCTGAATTGGGGTATAAACTGGGGTGCCTCAGTTAGTCTTGGAAAAGCGCCCCAAGCGTCATATGACCCCCCCCCCCTCCCCCGGGTGATGAAAGGATTTCCTTGGCCCTTGAATGTTTAATGATAGAGGTTGGGGCTGCCAGTTTGTGCTGTGTATTTGTAATTATGAAATCACTCTGGAATTTAGATGTGCATGATAATATAGGTACAAGTACACACGTTGAACCTTATAACTGGTTAGCCTACCAGTTACCAGTACTTACCCATGCTCTTTGGTGTAAGTCATAGTGTCACCAAATAATGTCATATAGGTTATGGGCCAGTCAACATTATAAGAAATCGGCCACAAAATTTAAAAATTGCAATTGTGGGCACAGTGAGTAGGCCCCTCACGCCTCTAAAAGGATGAGTTTGCGGTGGCTCCACATCTGAATTTATTTTCTTTCACCAAGTTTGTGAAGTTTACTCGTTTATGAAAGGTAGGCACAAGTTTCGATGGTGGGCAAATGATTAGTAGAACCCCCTCCAATTTTTTAAATGGATGCCACGCCTCTAAAAGGGTAAGTTTGTGATGGCTTTACATTAAGAAAAAGAAAGATTCTCATGAATATATTGTCTGTGTGGCGTTTAATCCGTCTATGAAAGGTAGGCACAACTTTTTTTATAGGGGCAGCATGACTACCCCCCCCCCCCATTTTACTATGGCTGCCACACCCCTAAAAGGGTGTGTTTGAGATGGCTCCATGTCTGATTTTTTTGTCGTGAATATTAACGTTAGTGGGAATTAGCTTCATTCATATATGAGATGTAGGCACATTTTTCCCATGTCGGGCATAATGAGAACCCCGCCCCCCCTTTTCAATATGGCTGCTACGCCCCTAAAAGGGTGTGTTCGCGATGGCTCCACATCTGGAATTTTTTTCTCATGAATGTCAATGTCTGTGGAAAGTTTCATTTCTCTATGAATGTGGGAACAATGTTTTTTCATTGTGGGCGTAATGAAAACCCCGCCCCCTTGTTTTCTAATATGGTTGCCACGCCCCTAAACTGCGTGTTCGAGATGGCTCCACATCAGGATTTTTTCCCTCATGCATATAAACGTCTGTGGGACGTTATTCGTTCATAAAATGTGGCCACAATTTTTCCCAAGGAGGGCATAATAATTAATCCCCCTTTTTTTAAATGGCTGCCACGCCCCCAAAAAGGTACTTTTGTGGTGACTCCGAATCTGGAAAACACTTATAATCTATATAATTATGTCTTTGTGAAGTTTCCTGCTTTTGTGACAAGTGGGAACAACCGTTTTCACTGCGGGCATGATGAGTACCGCCCCCTTTTTTTTTTAAATGGATGCCACTGAAAGGGTGAATTTGCGATGGCGCCACATCTAAAACATTTTCTGGCATGAATATGAACATCTGTGCCAAGTTTCACGCCTTTATGCAAAAGTGCACAATTCATCGATATTTTGTCACATATCCGCTGGACTATAATGACCAGATAACCAATATGACTGTTTAATACATCGGTATTTTCTCCCCCAACAACAGAATTAATATAGTTAAAAGTGACATATGGAAATGCACTCAATGATCCTCATTTGCATAAGTTTTGTCCTGTCACAAAACCAGACTGCCACCAATTTGCAACGAGTAATTTAATTTTGCTTGCGTCTTTGCAATTAATGATCTGCTCAGGCCATCGTGTATAGTTGACGATGCGCGTGAATAAACAACAGGTGTTTTTATCCAATAGATCGCGCAAACACTATAGTGCGACCACCTATCGACTAACCAGAATAGTTTATGCCACTAAAATACACTTTGGATGAATGCTTTGCCAGACTAAGTTATTTGTGAATAACCCTTCACAAAGGGATTTGTGAATTACAATTAAAAACTGACTTCCGCGAACATGTATACTGTGCCACACTTCCTGTTTGCGGAATGCTAGTAACATGATGCGAACACTATATAAGCGATCTGATCTTTACTGTGCTACATCTTATAACTCTTGACGAGTGGGTATTTAAAAAATGTTGACCTTTCTTGTGTAATGCCGGGAAAATAAAATGAGAAAGATGATTTGGTGTTTGCTTTCACATGCCAGAAGCCGACAGAGATAACGTTATCTTTATATCATGTTGTTGGACTTTCGAATTGTTAAGTCTGAAGATTTGTTCGTGCTTGCATTTTGATGGATTTTGTTTTTCCGTAAGGAAGTTTGCTTTCGTGCCGCACAAGTCGTGGCTGCGTTTAAGGTCGTGTGTTGTTATCAAACAAAGCATATAATGCGTGTTCAGTTAATACTTTTGTCAATTCATTAAAAATCCGATGTATTTGCATTGGTCCATGCAACGCTGATTGTCTTCGTGTTTTGAACCTTGTTTTGACCTTTGTGTTAAAATATTTTAAACCTGCATAACGATTTTTATAAACTCATCAATTCGTGTGAGCGATGTTTAAACAAACAGAAACAGTTGTCCCCGCAGATTGGGCACGTATGATGAAACAGTCTAAAAAGCAGCTATCTGGTGCAAAATGACAAGATTTTTCAAATCTTTTTAAATTGGTACAACAGAGGGAGTAAAGAAAAACTGAATGTGGTTGTAATCCAGTAAACTACAAGTCAGTCAAATTTTAATCATGCGTCAAATCACAAGTCAGATCATAATGTAAGAGATAATATTATCGACAAAAGAATGCGTCCGTAACTGTTTAAAGGGCTTAAGTTAAGGAGAATACACGAGAAAGTGTGGATTCGTAATTTAAGAATTCACGAGGCGCGAAGCGCCGAGTGAATTCGTAAATTAAGAATCCACACTTGCGAGTGTATTCTTCGACTTAAACCATTGCTTCAACAGAAGTATTGGAAAGAATGCTGCAACCTGACGCCACTTTTTTCTTCATATATCATCTCAATGAAGGCCATTCGTTGCAAAAATGATGATAAGACATGAATCTGGGACTAATAAATGTTTCCAGAATTGTTAGGAAATACTTGAAATGACTCTCCATAGACGTTGTATCGACATGTGTATCGACACACCCGTACAACCAATTCATTTTGTATGTATAGGCTCCTTACGTCAAAATGGAGAGACGACGATTTCTTTCTGACTAAAAGTATATTTTGCAGTGACAGCGGAAAATCTGACAGTGAAGATACATTGGTAATTTTCGGAAAGCAACAAATTTTCACGCAGACGGTCCTATTCATGCTCATTATGGAGAACAATTGTCCGACATGTTCAAAGTGTGGATTCGTAATTCCGAATCCACACTTTACTAAAGA